TCATACTTCTCACTAGACGTATGTCACATTGAACCATGTAATTCGTCTTTTTTCTCTTGATCTCTTTCTTTGCATATTATCATAATAGTTTCTTTGTAAGGGTATTCAAGATGTTGGGATAGGTTTCAACAACAATTAGTACGGTTTATTGTTTTGATTTACACTATTTTTTTAGTAATCATTATTGTCATTATTAACCCTTTGCTCAAGTGGTATGATGTTGGTGTAATATACATTATTGTGTCCATACTAGCATTTTGGAATGTATATGAATGTGGTCAATCAAATTGCTCCGTTGCACCCACTTTTGGTAAAGTGACTATCATCACTTTTAGTGCATGGGCAAGATATTCTCTTGATGTTCTAGCACTTGATTGTATGTGGAATGATAATGAATATTCTGTTGACGGATTTGATATGATCTAGGAGTCTAAGACAAGTTAAATGAGAGTAGCTTTACCGAGGAATATATTAGCAAGCCAAATATTTGGAATGATCATGGATTCCATATTATCTCCTTTTACTTATTGGTTACTTTTGAGATGCCTTGAATTCTTATTTTGTGCGTTACGATTTCATAAGTTATTTAGGTTATAATGGGGTATTAAAGTGTTGTTATATTTCATCATTGTTATAAGGCTAAAAACATTTGTATCATTTATTTTTGCTCATTCAGAGATAAGAAACTCTTAAGCTACCCATAGACGTATGTCACATTGAACGACGTAATTCGTCTTCTTTCTCTTGATCTCTTTCTTTTTCATATTATCATAATAGTTACTTTGTAAGGGTATTCAGGATGTTGGGATAGGTTTTAACACCAATAAGTACGGTTTATTGTTTTGATTTACACTATTTTTTTAGTAATCATTACTGTCATTGTTAACCCTTTGCTCAAGTGATATGATGTTGGTTTAATATACATTACTGTTTCCATACTAGCGTTTTGGAATGTATTTGAATGCGGTTAATCAAATTGGTCCGTTGCAGCCATTTATGGTAAAATGACTATCATCGCTTTTAGTGCATCGGCAAGATTTCTCATAATGTTCTACCACTTGATTGTATGTGGAATGATAATGAGTATTATGTTAACGGATTTGATATGATGTAGGAGTTAAGACAAGTTACATGACATTAGCCTTACCTAGGAATATATTAGCAAGCCAAATATTTGGAATGACCATAGATTCCGTATTATCTCCTTTTACTTATTGGTTACTTTTGAGATGCCTTGAATTCTTATTTTGTCTGTTACTATTTCATTTGTTATTTGGGTTATAATGGGGTATTAAAGGGTTGTTATATTTTATCATTGTTATAAGACTAAAAGCATTTGTATCATCTATTTTTGCTCATCCAGAGATAAGAAACTCTTAAGCTACCCATAGACGTATGTCACATTGAACCATGTAATTCGTCTTTTTTCTCTTGATCTCTTTCTTTTGCATATTATCATAATAGTTTCTTTGTAAGGGTATTCAAGATGTTGGGATAGGTTTCAACAACAATTAGTACGGTTTATTGTTTTGATTTACACTATTTTTTTAGTAATCATTATTGTCATTATTAACCATTTGCTCAAGTGGTATGATGTTGGTGTAATATACATTATTGTGTCCATACTAGCATTTTGGAATGTATATGAATGTGGTCAATCAAATTACTCCGTTGCACCCACTTTTGGTAAAGTGACTATCATCACTTTTAGTGCATGGGCAAGATATTCTCTTGATGTTCTAGCACTTGATTGTATGTGGAATGATAATGAATATTCTGTTGACGGATTTGATATGATCTAGGAGTCTAAGACAAGTTAAATGAGAGTAGCTTTACCGAGGAATATATTAGCAAGCCAAATATTTGGAATGGTCATGGATTCCATATGATCTCCTTTTACTTATTGGTTACTTTTGAGATGCCTTGAATTCTTATTTTTTGCGTTACGATTTCATAAGTTATTTAGGTTATAATGGGGTATTAAAGTGTCGTTATATTTCATCATTGTTATAAGGCTAAAAACATTTGTATCATTTATTTTTGCTCATTCAGAGATAAGAAACTCTTAAGCTACCCATAGACGTATGTCACATTGAACGACGTAATTCGTCTTCTTTCTCTTGATCTCTTTCTTTTTCATGTTATCATAATAGTTACTTTGTAAGGGTATTCAGGATGTTGGGATAGGTTTTAACACCAATAAGTACGGTTTATTGTTTTGATTTACACTATTTTTTTAGTAATCATTACTGTCATTGTTAACCCTTTTCTCAAGTGATATGATGTTGGTTTAATATACATTACTGTTTCCATACTAGCGTTTTGGAATGTATTTGAATGCGGTTAATCAAATTGGTCCGTTGCAGCCATTTATGGTAAAATGACTATCATCGCTTTTAGTGCATCGGCAAGATTTCTCATAATGTTCTACCACTTGATTGTATGTGGAATGATAATGAGTATTATGTTAACGGATTTGAT